AGGGAGAGGAAGAAGCAGACTCCCTGCTGAGCAGGGAGGCCGCTCTGGGGCTCCATCCCAGGGCCCTGGGATCATGGCCTGAGCTGAAGGCAGACATTCAACTGACTGAGGCACCCAGGCGCCCCTAGAGAGAGTATTTCTGAAGTTCACTCTGCGTGTGTGTGTTTTTTTACTGCGAGTGTAAATACCTACATGTGTGAAGTGGGAAGGAAAGCTGGGTTTGGGGAGCCAGGGACAAATAGGCATAGGATACTTTGGAAGCAAGAAAACAAAGTTCATAGATCTCTAAGGATAAATCTTAAGTATTTCAAAAAATTGCCTACACTGTTGTTTATTTTCCTCTCACAGACCAGGTAGAAATCAGATTCTCCTCTCTGGAAATTGATGCTCATGGGAGGAAACCGAACAATCCCATCATTATACAGTGTCAGGGTCAGATGGAGAATTCTACCTACCCCTGTTATCATACCACAGTAGGGCTAGATGGCAAATGGGTGTGGGGCAAGGAAAACTGGTTTCTACTGGTTTCTCTCTTCTCAAACATGAGCATCTTATCCATTGAAAGATTTTGTTCCTTACATATATCACACCCAGTGTCCAAACCCTCTCCTTCTTTAGCCTCTAACCTGCCTCAGATAGCTTCCTGCTAAGGATAGTTCTCAGGAATGGGTATAGAGATACCTGCAAAAGTTGAGGACATTTGGGGTTATCACTGCTGTGTGCAAGGGTGCTGGGGTAGAAGGGACATTAGGAAGAGAGAAAATACGGTAGAATCTTAGTAGTGCTCATCATAAATGGCTTCCCTCTTGGTCTTGGGCACACAGAAACACTTTTCAGCCTCCCTGGAACTTAAGTAGGGCCTATGCATGAGCTCTGGCCAATGAATTGAGAGTGGGAATGATGTGTGTTATTTCTAGTCTCTAGCAATTGAGAGCACATATGTGTTCTCATTCTGGCTCATCCCCTGCTTCAGTGTTGCTGGAAGTCCTGTGTTTCAGGTGGAATAGCTGTAAGATGAAAGCAACTTGATTCCTAAGTCATCACTTGGAAGAGGGCTGCCCTGAAAAGCTACTGGACCCACAGTACAGTTTGCATGAGTGAGTGAGTTGAGTGAGGGTTTAGGGTTTGTTTATTGCTGCAAATGCAGAGCTTCTCCTGACTCATACAGAGAAAGATGAAGAAACAGATGCAAGGAGGTACCTCCGCCTAGCCCTGCTCTCCTCTTTCCAGAGACACAAAGAAAACGTCTCTATTCTAGAAAAAGCAGAAAAAAATCTTCGGTGAAGGTGGACTTTAATATCTTTCTGCTTTTGTACTTTTATAGTAAGAATGTACTTCCTATGCAACTTTTAAAATAAAAAGTTACCCAAAAAAGTCTTTAGGCAACTTTAAGAAAGCTTCATAATGAGGAATTTGGAAGACCTCCACATCCCTCAAAAATGTTTCCTCCATTTATAGAAAGATTTATTTGGGTTACCAAGGGCCCATTTTAAAAAATGACTCAGTGAGGCAACGTAAACAAAGTGAGTTCCTGGATTGGTATGATTTGAATCACAAATGCTGGTTGTTGCTGCCTGAAGTCACTCAGCCTCGGGTCAGCTTCATTTGGCAGGTTGTTGGCGTAGAACACCTAACTCCCTCCAGTTGGTTAACCCTGGCTTTTTGTTCTCTCACAATGACGAGCAACAAGACCCAAAACTTCTTAAGCAAAATGAAGTGGTTTACATTGATAAAGTGTATTTCCTGCTAGCAGTCTGAAACGCTTTGTGGGAGGAGTAGGATATAAAATAAGATCGTACCTAATAAGTGCTCCTGACTTGTAAAAAAATACAATAAAATGTGGGATGATCACTCTGTTGAGTAAAGCACAACAAATTAGAGAAGCTAGTTTGAATGCATTGCATGGGACATCAGCTCACTGGACTCTGAAAATGACCTTCTTTATTAAGACCATTGGTGGCACTAGCGACTGAATGCGACAATAAAATTGGCTTCATAAATTCTGCTTCACAACCTTCGTAGCACTATGGGGCCTAGAGGCAATACTCCCAAGTCTCCGCCTAAAAATACCTTCACAGACACTTCTATTTGTCAGTAAACATTGAAGAGAAAGAGGCCCAGATAGACAAGAACGCTCCTTAGCTCTGCCCACTCAACTTCTCTGCTGCCTACGCTGAATTCCCTCCTCCCCAAACGATGCAAACTTCTCTAATCAGTAATGTATTCTCCTCAGTTGATTAACTGCTCACACTTGCGTAGGAATAAATTTCTCTCTGGGAGTTACCACAACCAGGAATTTTCCCTGTTAAGTCTTTTATCTCTACTTACAGAGCCATAAAGCTATTTGACCCATTAAAGGGATTTTTACACATCAATACTTGGAATGTTTGAGGGATAAAGGGCCCATGAAATCACACAGGATTATTAGTAGGATGGCCCAAAAATGCAAGCTAATCAAGATCCTGGGGAGAAGGTCAAAAAAAAAAAAAAACCGTAGCTCTGGGGGTGCGTGGGTGGCTCGGTTGGTTGAGCGCTCAGCGTGGAGTCTGCTTGAAGATTCTCTCCCTCTGCCCCTCCCCCCACTCACGCATGGGGGCTCTCTCACTCTCTCTCAAATAAATAAAATAAATCTTTAAAAAAAAAGAAATCATAGCCCTGTGAGTCTCTCCTCGAAACGCACCCTGCTCTCCTACATGAAGATCTGACAAGCTTTTGGGAGGCCTGTCCCCAGGAGTCCTCAGTGGTAGCCAAGTTTTCTCCCTACCCTAGACCCTGCCTTGCCCTTGTGGGGATCTCTCCAGAACACCCTTTCTTCTAGCTCCTGGGCCTCCCCTCTCTTCAGCTGGCTGAGCAGGAGTTTCCACTGCCTTCCCTATCTCCAAATTTTAACATTTCTCCTTCCTATGTTCTTTTTTTTTTTTTAAAGATTTTTTTAATTTATTTGACAGAGAGAGACACAGC